AATTGGTATTTGCAATACGCTACAATAAATATGTATATCATAGATTTTAACAAATACCTACCTTATTCGTAAATTAATAACAAAAGAATTTTGTAAGTTTTAAAATACCATAATTTATTCACATAATATTTAATATTAATGACACAAATTGTCAAAAATCGCTATTTTGTATTCTGATTTAAAACTATAAATATTCAAATATTTAATTATAATGTCGATTTAAACGATCCCAGAAAATAAAACACAAAAAAAACCCATAAAATAACCAATCTTATACAAACAATAAATGATTTAACAACAACAAAATGTCTGATTTCTACATGTAGCCAGAAAATTCAATACCGATTTTGACTTCGGAACTAATTCTGTTATAAACCATTCGACTGAATGTAAAACAATGTTTAAAAACCGTCGGTGGCCCAAATGTTGTTCCCAAGTCAACAAGAAACTTCTCTGCTACCTCCAAAAGTTCGGCCTGTGATTTATCCGTCTTGGGTTCCGTTAACGAGACATAGTTAAACATCGTCTTATTGCTAAGCGTTGATGTAATTTCTTCTATAATATCATCCTTATGACCTTTTTTCACAACTTTCACAAACATTTTGAAATCTTTGTCACCGTCTAAAGCGGTTATGTGTACGAATCTTTCCAAGATTTCGACAAGTTCTTTTCTACAAAATGTATGTGAAGCCCTCACATAACTCCACGTCAGACCTAGGATAATTGTTTTTAATGCTTGCACGACCGTCATTTGATATAATCCTAGGAATTTTATACCTTTTAACCCATCTAAAAATGAACCTTCTCTGGTTCTTTCTACACTTTTAAGTATGCGGCCCCAGTAAGCAGGTGATAAATATCCGCCTGAATATTCGTTAAAAAATGATATGTGACCGTTTTTTTCCTTAAAATACAATACTTCGATGCCGCTAAAAGTGACTGGTCCCGAATTTACCAAGCGTTCCGCTTCGAGACCTTTCACAGTATCAATTACACTATTTATCAAGGATTTGTTAGCTTTCACTGTCTCTGTAATCGCATGATTGTCATTATTACCGGCCGCGTTTATCATGGTTTGAAACCTTTTATAATTTTCACAATTTTCAGAATCCTTATTGAAAACGTTATTTTGTTGGCACGCAGATTTTCCGATATCGCTTGCCAATTTTTTTTCTACCAATTTGTACATATCTAAATTGTCGGCTTTGGGCTGGCCACGGTGGTACGAATTTGTATTAACCGCAGCGTTTAAATAATTGTTTACCTTATGCATGTAAATGTAAAGCATCCAAAATGGTTCCAACTCCACATTATTGTTGAACATGATGTTAATGGTTTTGACGATTTCGGACTCGAATGAAATGTCGTTTACCGGGAAGTCGTTGTTCATTGTGAAATATACGGTTATAGTATTGAAGAAATACATGCTTTGAAAATATATGCTTTTGGTGAAATACATATGAAATGCGGCACTGTAAAAAATGTTACACGTGAAATCGGTTGGTAGATTGCACTCCGGTATTTCTTCTTTTTTTTTACCAAAGACCATCCTCAAAAAGTTTGGGACACATTGGGCCATTGAAAAAAAAAAAACGATCCATAATAACTTCATAGTTTTCATAATAGGTAGTCGAGATTTTATTTTTTAGAAAATACAACTATTTATATGTACTCGAACTCGCCGGTCAACGCGAATGGTTACACTTGGCACGTTCAATACTGAATACACTACAAGCTATATTTTTCGGTTTTTGTCAAAAGTACAAAAACCGTACACTCTGTCAACACTTTAATGCGGTGTTGTGCTAAATATCGCCTTAGTAGTACGTCAGTTAAATATCTCGTTATTGTTCCTTGTGTAAATAGTTGATATTGTCACACACTGTTTTTCGTTTTTTTGTTCTTAGAAAGTCATACATTTCAAACACTACGTGTATTTTTGTGAAATTAAAACACACCAACAACTTGTTGGCAACAAGTCCACTTGTTATCAGAATCCTGATTCATTAATGATAGTCGCTTATTTATCCTTAGAATAATCGCAGTCTAGAAGTTTTCCGTTTGAAAACATTTTTAAATATAATTTTTTACAATATAAAAAAAAAAAAATATATTAACCTTTTTTAGTATTTTCCATGACCCTATCAACTTTTAAAAACATAAATGGTAACGTTCTGTGTATTTAATTTACTATTGAAATCGAAAATAGTTTTCTAAATACCTAAACTGGTCGATAACCAGAGTAGAGATAATAACTTTATTGCTTTATATTTTATTACTTTACATAACCTCACCCCTCTCCTTATTCCACATCGACTTGATTTTTTAACCATAAATGCTATTAACGATAAGATATTATGCTTTAAACTCAAAGTCTATGTAGTAATACGAGTATAATATTTGATTACACCGAATATGTGTATCAGGCGACACTAAAGCAATTATAAAGTTTGTCAAATGATGCATCTTATTTTTTTCTAAAAAATTAGTTTTCTATCGAGTAGGAACACTAAATGATTTTTAATTATTATTGTTTACAAATAATTCAAATAGCATTTTAAATTTAAATAATAATAAAAACACAAAAAAAAACAAGGTAGTTCCTACTGTCGTCTTTCTATTAAAATATTAGTGGTTTAGGCATCAAGTACAAAATTCTGAAGTGTAATATAACTTGATGTGATTCCGATTGTTTTATGGTATCGGAGCTATTTTATCTTTTACAATTATTAATTTTCTTTTTCCATCACAAGACAAGTTCATAATTCAATGTCTTTCTTTGAGTAATAAACTAATAATTTGTTCGATGTCTTTTTGATTTACTTTATTTTAGCTTCGATGTGGAGCAGAGATGCTATTGGTTTTCCAATGATTTGTTTTTTTTTTTTTTTTTACTGTATAAAATGTAACTTTTGATTTTGTCGAAGATTTTACATCAAAGTACTTCTCATGGATATACATTTACGAATAAATGCTTGTAATTAATAATGCGTTTACATTTTATAGTATATTTCTTCGGGTAATTAATACAATTTATAGTTGAATAAAAAAAAAAAAACAAGAGGGAATCTCTCACCACACGGCCACTGATGAATTAACCCGTGTGAAATTGTCACCAGATACTTCCAACATCAGTTCGCCAACATCATCATATGTAAGTTCTGTTTTATCACCTTAAACATATTAATTATTATCACTTTATTGCAAACAAGTGCATTCATAGTGCAATAATTTGTTGTATCTTGTTCAAAAATATTACATTTAGAGGGGAAATATTGAATTAATTGATTATTACACAGCTTGTCAATTAATTATAAAAGCTTTGATGGGAATCATTACTCTCTTTTGTGCTAGCAGAAGGACATGAAAAGTTACTTGCCATTGTAAGTAATACCGGTTTGCCTTAAATCGTTGTAATCATTAAACTGTATAGGAGTAACTGTTTTCAGATTGCTTCTATTAGCGAATTTAAGCAGAACACTCCAATTTGCTAGCTTCTAAAATGTTATTATAATTTTGATCGTCATTTTAATTGAAACAATTTTTATTTTAAAATCAAATAATATTAGTATAGTTTATTAGAATCATGGTTTACAAACAATATAGATCATATTCAATTACAATAATATAACATAATAATAATTTTAAAATATTACGTTAAATACATTTTAACTAACCACATAGCAATTGTTATTTAAACCAACATTTGTGTTTGCTATAATATAAATTCAAGTAAATGTATTTTCAAGTAAAAAATTGAAATACATTTTCATTTGTATGTTTCAACTAACCGTTTATTTAAAATTTATTATAAAAAATAATGTGTACTTGTTTGTTTTTTTTTAATTTGTACATTTTAAATATTTTATTTTAAAAAAACTTGCTTTTACAATAATAATATAATCAATTTTCAATTTTCAAATAACAAATTATTTTAAATTATTCACTGTTCCCATTAGTTCTACCTGTATTTTATTACATTAAACTTGGCATAATACCTACCTATATTGTGCTGTACAATGTATAAGTATTACCTGTGTCTCTGTGAGTAGAGCATAACCTTGTTGCATTGACAAACAAAGTATTAAACAAACTACTAAACGTTTTTTTAGTTCCATTATAGTTCCAATTAATTTAGTAAGGAAAATATTAAAATTGCGCTCAACTGTGATGTAGGTAGTCTTTAATGAATGATACGCTTTTATAACTCATTTTCAAGAAATAACAGCTACTTTATGTCGTGAAAACATTTTTTTTTAAAAATATGTTCATAAAAACTGTGTAAACTGAACCAAACGTCTCGAGACAAACAAAAATAGAACGCCTTTAATGGGCAGCCAACGTGTGTTGGTTATAACATAATGGTTTAAAACCATGGCAGATTTTACCTAATGCACAAATGGATAAACCACTCTTCTCTGTTCTATAAGATTGTTGACCTTTTCAAAGTCTGCAAAAATTAATCAATAACTGTTTTGGATAACTAATTAAAAAAATCAAAAAAATAATTAGTGGCTCCTGACACATATTAACCCTTCGGATACAGCGTGGTGGGGTTAGTTGTGGCTGACACAAATTTGTTTTTTTTATTACTCAAAGTTTGTAAAAAAAAAAACAAAAAAGATAGGACATGACTGTGGCGGCAATTCTGATTGTCAAAGTAAAAGTAAATTTGTTTTTTTTCAAAATATCAACCACAGTATATCAAATAATTTATTTCATTACAAATAGTAATAGTATCATGACAACACTTGAACACACATTTAAAAAATATCAATAATTAAATTATAACATATTAATAGTAATAGGTATAATATTATTAAACACTTGTAAAAATTGATAATATACCAAACATTTTGGTAACCACAACAAACGTTTTATTTTATATATATATATTTATATATATATATATATATATATATATATATATATATATGTATAAAACTATTACAACATTGTATTAATAATAAATGACCAACAATAATAACAAAAATTAATATCGTAAAATGTGATTGCAAAAACGACGTATACAATATATATATATTTTTTTTTATTATTAGTAATAGTAGAGTTACGATAAAATTGTGTTTCACAACATTCATGGATATCATTAATCATAATAGAAAAAAAAAACAATACGGAAAATTTAACGTTATTTTATTTAATAGTTACCGTAGTCAGTTCGAATATTGCGACGTTAACGAAAAACAAGTTTTGAACAAAAACAAATGAACTAGAGTTTAAAAAAAAAACGCAAAGCGTCGACAACGATAAAAATATGCAAGACAAAACAATAATTGTATATATCATGTATAAGTTAACGGATCACAACAACGAGAGGACAGACGTAAAAAAGAATGTTTTCGCAAAATTGTTTATTTGACTGATGTCCATTTTGTGGAGAACGAATGAAATACAACAAATTCGTTTTAATCACCAAAGGAAAAATGGATTAAAATTTCCAATTTTTTTTTTTTTTTTAACAACAAATTTTATAACAAAAAAAAATATCACTACATAAAAACACAAAAACAATAGTTTGTTATTTCCCAAAAAAAAAAAAATAATAATAAATTAACTTTAAAAAAATTAGTTAAAAAGTAACATAGAGATTTTTTGACTTAAGTACTTTTACTAGTCTCAAGAATAGAGTTTTCCCAGACAAGTGACAGCGCTGGCTCGGACGTTCGGATTCGGATCGTTGGTCAACACCAACATTTTGCTCGATATCATGCTGAACAACGACTTATCCGGATTGACTTTGTAAAGTATGCCTGCGTTATTGGTAAATCAAACGAGTCGATATTAAAACACAACTGGTAAGTAATGGAAACATTTTTGTAGAAATTATATATTGTTGTAATAATCAAAGGCTAATATTATTCAAACGAAAGAAATAATAAGTTTAATAATGCATGCTAATATATGCTATTATTTGAAATAAAACATAATATCTACTTAGTGAGTCGACCAATTTTTTAGTTTGAAAAACAATAGCTAAAAAAATTATATAATTATATTTTTCGAGTCGCTAAAGAAATAATGTCTATTTAAGTTTATTATTTGTTTAAAAATATAATCAAATTTCTATTTTTAATTTAAATTATTATGTATTTTTTTTCTCTTCAGTCTTTCAAACAAATTGTAATTTACAGTTTTTAATAAAAACAAATTTTTTTAAAATTATTTTAAGGTAAAATTTAAAGAAATTGTTTTCCTTTTTAAACGGTTTAAACAAACTATTTTTTTATTTAAATGGACACATCAATTTTCATTTGAATTAGAAAATTATTTAAATTAGAGTTTAAAAATTTATTTTAATTATTTTATTTCTACATGTTGGTATAAACAAAAATAAAATTTAGTTTTACCGCTACTCAAGCGGTGAAAACAATTATTTTATTTAAATCATTTTTGGCATTTTATTTATAATTTAGGTCGTATTCATATTAAGTTGTAATAAACTAAGTATTTGACCTATTATTTTTTTTATATAATAGTATATATTTACATCATAAATAAGTATCTGACTCGGTAATTGATAATATATTTTTAATAAAGGTTATTTAGTATTAAAATAGTTTATATATTTTTTTAAAATAATTATTTGAATTAAAATTTTATAAAATAATTTAGATAATAGCCAAGGCTGGTCGTAACATACTTACCGACAAATAGTGCGGCACTGGCTCTAATATCGGGAAACACGCTCTTAGTGTACGACAATCCGATCATGGTGTACGTAGTGGTGTGAAGTAAAAAATCTTCTATCTGGTAAAAACAATATAAAAGAAAAAAAGATCATTAGCACTTTAATAGCGTACAGGATAATTGACAGTTCCGGATCGATAAGGTTGGCACGTACCTCTGAGATCCGACAAAGTAAATTAACCGAGACGACGGCTTGTACTATTGGCTTAGCCATCACCACAAGTTCGTCATCGTTTAAACATATTTTAATATAATATCATACACACCATAATATTACAAATGAGCGTGACGAATTCCAAATATTTGACTTTTTTGTCTTCGACCAAATGCTTTTCGGTTAAGGACACGATTTTTTCTGACTGCAACACGGCGCTGACCTGTTTCAAAGCGTACTTACAAGCCTACCAAGGGAAAATAAAACAATTAACACATGATATCATAGTATTTATATTAACATGAATGAAAATTTTATGGTAAGATCAAAATCCGTCCCATTGTTGGCCTTAAACGTTTCGGACGATGGTATCTATATATTTTGTTATGGACCAACCTTATCACACTTCCTTATCTCTACTTTCCTTATCACTCATCTAATTATAAACTACCAGATGAATGGTGTTATAAAAAGTTTCATGGTTTATATGTTTTTCATTGAAGAGAGAGGAATTTATACTATTTCCCTCTCTGCTTGAATAAAACACGGAAACACACTGACAGTTCACACTCCCTTTTGTTTTTAAATATTATAATTAAAAATTCGGCACTTTTACCTCGGCGATATGTTTATTGTTTTCGCACAAGTGCATGAGAAGCGTCACTATGCTGTTGTGATGTAGAGACATGTCGACGTTGATGTCGAAGTCTTTGGTTTTCGCACACAGTTCGCCGTAAAGCCGTATCGAAGTGAACCGCATTTCACTGTTTTCCTGAGCACACAAGAACAAACAAGTACGTTAAATGACTTGCAACAGCTTCTCAAAACCTACTACGGTTTCAATAGTACTGTAAAAAGTGCAGGACAAGTCCATTCGTTTTTAACGGTAAAATCGAAAATAGATTTTATATCCATTTTTTAATTTACTTAGCTATTTTTTCAATCTGACAAACTATAAAATTACCTACAATTTTTTTTTGAAATTCGTAACTTCCAGACGTACATTACAAATATATAATGATATAACAGATATAAAATGTATAACTATACATTTTATAATAATCCTGGCAAACTGTCGTTTGTTATTGATAAATAATTATTAAAATAAAATTAGAACTTATATTCTATTCGTTAGTGAATATTGTAAAATAAAGAAATTGAAAAATAGACAATGTTTCCCTCTCCTAAACGATTTGTTTATCCGTTATTACTAAAAAAAATGTCTTTCAAACATTTTACTTATTTCCTTTTTACAGTCAAAATACCATTTTCACCCTTCCATTCTGATCTCACCATCCCTCCTCTTCTCTACGCTCTCCTTCCCAGTCCCCTCTCCATGTGTCACAGAAGCATGACTGAAATTTTGACACATTCTCAGCCATAAAAATAATTGTATCTACATATCTAGCCGAAATATTTCGGAAAAACATTGAATCATAAACATGCCTATTTCTTTCCCCCCCCCCCTAACTTTTCCTTTCCTCCCTATTTACTTTCACTCCTTCGACCTCACTTTCACTATAGATTAGTGGTGAGAATAATTAAAACGATCAAATCCAGATTAAATTAATTATCAACTGAATGTTTTTATTTTTAAAGCAATACATTCGATCATGAATATTATGTCTTCATTTTTCCATCCCTCTTCAGTCTTTTCCACCTCTTACTTATCAGTCAACTCTCCTATCAATAATCTAATATCAGCTGTTTTTCTTATCAATAATTTCCTCTCTACTTATTCTCACCTACCCATCTATAGCGTCACATATTCCGTGACGTGTCGCAAATTTTTGGAATGGTCCCCAGAGGTACTGCTAAGACATATTCATGTCGAAAACAAATGTCGCTACATTGGAAAAAATAATATAAATGGATACGTTTTCCCTCTTCACCCGGACCTATCCCAGCAGGTACGGTTTTGCGAAATTGTCTGGTATAATAATAATTGGTATGATGACGCTAATTCCAAATAGACCCCGCTCGAGCCCAAACACATATTTATGTAAAAAAAAAATTATGTTAGGTTAGGGCGACTTTAAATCAAATTCAAAAGCCTGTCTTACGTTCTCGAAAAACTGCTTGATCCTGAACGTGAGCGTGGCGTAGTGTTTTTCGAATTGCTCAGCCGACAGATGGGGAATCAACGAGATGAGACCTCGCAGAGCTTCCAACGTTATGTCTGTCTGTTGCGTTTGGTATTCGTCGAGGCCTTGCATCAGGGCGTCCAAAATGAATTGACACTGATTGTCCGACTGCGAGAAAGTTCAAAAAAAATATATATATGAATTATAAAAATTAAAAAAACAGCGAGTAATGGGCGTAGGAGGAGTTTAAAGGAAGTAGACAACCGGGTTTGGTCGGAGGAGCAAGTGGCGAATAGTTATGCTAAATAACTCAGAATGACTAAAAGTATCTAAAAAACAAAAAAAAAACTTGATAAAAAATTCAATGAGAATAAAAACTGATACAAGTTTATGAACAAGGAAGTTAAAAAAAAAAAACAGTGTTAGAGAAGAGGGCATATTTTTTTTATTTAGCTCACCTCAAGTTGTTGGTTTTGGCAAATCACCGTCAGACCTTTCAAACAGTATCTTCTCACGGCGAACGAATTGTCGCTCAAGCACTTAAGGAACACGTTGATTAGACTATTGGCATACATGACGTCGTTGGTAGTTGCTTCGGCACACTGTTAAAAGATATAGCTTACAATAGTTATATCAATATGTAAGTCTCTGGAACTATAGTATAGAACCAGAGTCGGACACTCGCAGGAGTATTTAAAATAAAATATCAAAAATCTACAATACATGTAGGTACATTGTAAGTTATGGTTGGTAGTGTGCAGCTAATGGGAGTAAGAAACGTGGACGATTTGTTTAACGAAGAATGTACAGGAAACATGTTATTTTGCAAACCAATTTATTGGGGAAAGGGGAAGATGGTGATTATTTAAGTATTTATTTTTTCACGATTAATATCAGAACTCTATAACCGCCGTAACTTGTTATTTGGAAAATATTTTATAAAAAATTATAAGACATTACACAATCATTCAAATTCATAATAGGCGTTAATGCTTTGAAATTTTAATCTGTCATAGGGTGATTGAAAAACGTTTACAAGTTTACAAGTCGTACAAATATTATTTTTCCCATGTTTTATCTTTTATTTTGATATAAGAAAAAGTTAGGTTAATTTCGTTGGATTAGGTTAGACTTCCCTGTATTTTATCAGATTGAGTAAACACATATTATTGTTCTACCCGCGGCTTACTATATATATATATATAAGTAAAATGGCAGCTTAAAGGAAGCTAATAAAATTAATTGATCAAGATATTATACAAATAAATTGATCAAAAAACATTGATATCTCCCATTACGCTGTCATTTTATGAATTGACAGTATAATAAAGTGTGAATGTACAATAACCAGGTACATTTAGGCCAGGGTTCTACCGTTTGCCGGGTCGGTACGATACTCACACACAAGCACAGCACGACTATGCCGATCCGTTGACATTCCATTGTGCTGCTCAAGTTCTTGTCAAACCGGTTGATTATTTTGGAGATCAGTTCAGGATGGCTTTCGACAAGTCCTCTGCAAAATAGAAATACACGACCTCAATAAAGTCAATGTCAGGTAACAAATGACGCAATCACACTCCCTCACTTGATTATGCACGGCGCCAATTTGTGCATTACAATGTCGACGGTCGAGTCCAAGCACGTGACGGCTTCCATCACGTTGTCCGAGCACTCTATGAGTTGGACTGCTCTCAAAAAGTTGTACAGAGTTTCGTGGGCGATCCTAGGCGGGTAAAAATAAAAACGATAAGAGGACATGAAGCAGAGTTGGCATAAAGCGAAAATTAAAAAAAAAAATTCAATCTTTTCCTCAATGAAAAAACATTGGACCTTAAACATGCCTAATGACCGGCTGATTTTCTGTCTTTTATCAATGATCTCTAATCAGCTAATTCTTTTTTCAAAAATCAGTAACTAGATTGCTAACTTTTCATAATAGGTGACGCAAAAAAAATGGGCATCTGGGTGTGGCCTTCGTACACTATGTATACAGAGTTATATATAAAATATTCATTAGTGTCCTGAAGCCACAATTAAGATGACAGAAAATATGCAATCTAGTTTCTTATTGATATATCCTCCTCCCCTTTACCTTCTCCTCCCCACTCGTCCCCTATAAGTCACAAAAGTAGCGAGTAAATTTCAACCCCAACCGAAAGACAAATTAATGGCAAAAAAACAAAGACTGAACAAGTTAAGTTTTTTTTTTGGCTATACATAAACCCAATAAAACCAAAAAAGCATTTGCGCAATACTTGAAATTATTTCAGGGGGAGCTAGACATGAATTTAAATTTGTCGGTGGTTCATGGCTATGTACTGTTAATTGATTACATGTCGTACACCGACAACAATGTAGTCGCCATATTTCGCGTTTGCCGAGTGGAACAGTTTAGCCGGAATGAACGAAAAACGAGAATTTCCCTACACCTACTTGCACTGTCGATTTCTCAATTATTTTCAAAATGTCGGACATAAATATTTATCTCGTCCCATAAGAGCCCATGTAATATTTATATAGTTTCTGTTTATTCTGCGCTATCGATTTCCCTTTTCCCGACATTCCCCCCGTGCCCTCAATATCTTTATTCTCCCCTCCTCCTCCTGGTCACCCGTTAAACATAGGAATAATAGTCGGTCTTATAACATACTTTGCCGGGTTTATGTCGTACACCTCTTTGTACGACACAAACACGTTCTTGTTGGCTCCCCGGATGGGCGAACCGACGTCGATGAGCGCGGCCAACGTGAGGAATATAATGTTGAACAGATCCGGGAACGAGTCCATGGCGGGCTGTCGGTCATATTGTTTCAGGACTTCGTTCAAACCGCTTAGGGCCTGAAAAAAAAACAACCCGTTAACTTAATCCAACTACACTCTGTACTGTCTCACAGAAGAACGGTACTGCGCAAAAAGCAAAACGCGTCACTCCTCGCACAATTGATGCAAAATTGCTACGGCTCGAAATTTGGGTTTTTTTGTTAGTTAAGGTCGATAGCTATAATTGTTATCTACAAAATAGTATACCGCCAGAAGTCATAGCCCAACCAAAGATTCTGTAATACACTTGTATCAGTATACGGTATTGAATTTCTTAATTTTTGCGGTAAAAAAAAAATTAATACTGCCAAGTTTTGAAATGCTGCGTTGTTGAATGTTTTTTTTATAGTCGAGCATAAGAAATCAAGACTGACTCGGTTCGATTTGAGACATTTTAGCATAATAATTCTTAATTGGATCCGTGAAGAAGTAAACTGCCCCATTTTGTGTTGTAGCAATAGATTAATTTCAAATGCAACTGCTTTTCTCATTATGACGTAAAAAAAAAAATTGTTTGAAATGGAAAACTGCCAAAAAACCAAATGTGGCAATTTTATATTTTAAATATCTATTGCTGAACTGTCATAACCTTTAATTTCTGTTGTCTGGTTAAGACTTAATTGAATAGCCTAAAATTGAACTAACAAGCCCCGGGTAACATAAATAATTGCAAAGTATTAAAATCGAAGCTTTAAAACTAACCATTTGGGAACAGTTTCAATCTTGCCCAAGGGCGAGTCCTGTCCGCACAGACGCATACAATTGAGTAATGCGTTTTGGTTTCTGCGCAGTACCGTTCTCTCGTGAGACAGAGTATATGTACACCAACGCCAATGCTGACAGCAAGTACTAAAGTCCACTTTTAAAAACCAGTTAAACATCCGCCTATATTCGATTTACCGACGAATTTGACAATCGTTTTTTGTCGGACGGGGCCAATTGAACATTTTGTTGGAAGAAGCAAGTGATCCCCAAACCCCCTCTTCCCCATTTTCACTACTACTCACGGCTATAGGGATAAGCGAGGCGACCGGCTTGTTCAGGAACTGTTTGGCGCTGTTGTCGTACAACGGCGTTAACGTTATGAACTCCAATAGGGCGTTAACTATCTTTGGACTTATCTGCCCTTCGCTGCCCAGACTCTGCCAAATGGTGCACACGGTCCTGAAAGGCACATTTACCGAATTACAACTAATACTACACCATCAAATCATACCGTAGTTGTAACCGTTATTATAGGCTAGTCACGTTAGTATTATATTTATAAAACAAATTGTTTTACCAAGAGAACTTTCGAGTAAAACATTTATTGTGTTCGAATACGTACATCAAAAGACAACGCTTTAAAGCCTATAAAATATGATTTCAAAATCTCATTTACTTATAAGAGGGAATACGTCTAGTATAATATTATAATAATTGTTATATACAATTATGTTATAATTGAACGTGTAAATAATACAATTCTTTACCATCACTTTTGTTTTATTTATTCAACTATTATTATTTATCAACATGTATTATTTAGTAATTAAACCATTTTCGATTCGTGGAAACAATTTAAATTATTGTTGCACCATGTTTTTCATATTTTATTTAGGAAAAGGAATAAGTCCGACAATTGAGTACCCTGACAGAGCCCTGTGTAAACAAGTAAAGTTCTTATTTTGAGTACAGCAGTATTTTTCGTATAGATACCCCTTAAATATATTGTAAAAACGAACTTCCCAAAAACTTTAACAACTTAGCTCTCTTATTTATTCCACTCCGTATCAATTTGTTTTTTTTTCATAAGTATAACTGCTTTAGGATTATCATAAAACCTTGTTTTTTATTGATTTGGAAATGATTAAGAAATAATTAAATATGCAGGTGAAAAACTCAAACCAAATTCAGATTTAGCGAAGAAAATCATAAAAAAAATTATATTTTGGTTATCAAATTTTGAGTATTGTACCAAAAATATAAGTAATATATTAAATAGAAAGATAGATGAAAAAAATAAAGGAGAAAATTGGTTTGCAATGAGTAGAAATTGATTTATACGATACATAAAAAAAAATTAGCTTTTATATCATACTTACGTTAAACATACAATATTAGTATGGAGACATCAATATTCGCGTTGAACTTAAGTTTACAATTTTAATGACTTTCAGGTATTTTAAGTTATATTGTTAATTAAGTACATTCGATAAATACAATGACATAATGTATATTAGTACAAACTTTAAGAAAATTAGTACAACCGAGCCCAACCCGATGAATTGGGCATTATTAGTGTATTTTTTGTTTTATAAAGTGAAAAATAAAAAATAATTATTATTTTAAATTCTTTATTCATTTTTTGGTTATTAATTATCACAATCGTAATAGGTTATTCGCAATTTATTATCTGTTGGACATATTAATTATTTATTGTTGGCGGATAGTTATTTTTATTCATATTAGATGTTTTATTTGGTTTTTGTGTAAACATAAAAACGCATTCGATTAAATTACAATACAGAGCAGCATTCAATCGATTCACCTTTGATATTAAAACCATTCAAATTATTACTAATAAATTTGTCCACATTTTAAGTAGTTTCAATTAAAAAGTAATAATAATTTGGTCCTCTTTGTACTGTTTACAATTTGTAAAATAACACTTAATAACAATAATAACTGCCTAGAAATATTTTACAAGAGTTTGGATGATAAAGATCCATTTGGGAAATCCTTTCAGTAATATTAATTTTAATAAAACAACATTCTCGATATAACCACGCTTAACAACTATGGTACTCGCGTTACTAAGCTACGTGTGCTGTAACCCACAACGTACTCACATGTTAAACGGTAAATTCTGATTGATGAGCAGTTCCAGAAAATCAGGTACGTTGTACTTTCCTAGGGTGATCAACGATTTAATATTGTTTGCTTTGATTTCTTCGTTGGGACTCTCGATCCTTTGGAACAATTGACCTAAGCATACAACAATACGTAGACAATTATTATCGTAGAGCCGATGATAACAAAAATTAACAATAATCCATTTTTATATTAAACCTTTTGGGTTAGTTTTTTGTGAAACGTAACCTCAGGTGTAATATAAATATTTTTTAAGTAAATATCATTATTGATTATTGTTAGTGTCTCACCCATGATTTCGTTGAAAGCTTTTTGTGAAAACTGTTGAGCCACTATCGGAAATAGTATGATCAGCATCTCGCTAGTTTTCAGCTGACATTCCTCTTCGTTGTCGGCTAAACCGTCGATGAAGTATATACAGAAATTTGGCAGGTCGGACGGCTCCAATATTTTCTGCATGGCCTACAAAAGAAGATAAACAGAAGAGTTAGGATTAGATGCGGACGCAAACCAATTGTCTATTTTACACCTTATCGACCCTATAATGAGCTTTACCCGTAGTGCCGTGGGAATATTATTATAACAAAAATTTTAGTTATTTAGGGTTGTTTTTTTTTTTTACTATTCCAGCAACCGTTAGCACTTAAATATTTTTGCATGGGTTCATCCGGTACGTACCTCCAGGAGCAATTTGTACGACTCAGTGCTGTGGTCGCTCATGATTTTGTCGATAAATTCGGATTCCTTGATGAAACTCTCTGTGAACGTGCCCTTGTAGATGGCCGTGATCCTTAGCAGGATGTCCAAAGTCTTGTAAACATTTAAGCGGGTCTTCTCGTCGGGATCGCCCATGCGTATGCACATCTGAGCGAACAGGGCGGCCGATGAATTCAAACACTGCGGCAACTGCAAACAACGGTCCAATTGTTAAATAGTAATCGTAAGGTTTTTATAATTTTGGGAAACATATAAATTTAAAAATATTATATTATACACTGTATGTTGTCGTTTTTTTTCACTTTCTTCTAAATGTCTTCATTTTTATTAATTATTTAAAATTTTGTTAGGTAAGGTAAGGTTAAGTTAGGTTAGTTGTCATTGTAACCAATATAATGAAAATATTGTTCAGATACCTGTTAATTGTTGATTCAATCACACACGGTAACCTGGAAATTCAATACGGTCAAAGAGTAATTTTCCCCTTTTTTTTTTGGTTTTCCCTTAACAAAAGAAAAGCTTGACAACAGATTTTAGAGAAAATTGCATACTATGTTATAAGGCCACGCTAAATCTACCTTTAAACTAATTTTTACACCTCAAGTCCCATAACTTTCACTAAGATTTTTTCCTAAAGACTTTTTCGAAAAGATTTCTAGTCTATAGATTTGATATTTAAATAAATTGATTGATCGGTTTAGGAGATACCTACATGATTCCAAAAGCAAAAATAAGAACACATAATTTTAATAAAAAATCCCTTCCTTGGCTCCACAACGAGGCTAAAACCTACTATGTATGTAATCTAATATTGTTTATTTTTTTTAAGTTCCACTAAAATTTTACGATACCATGTCAACTACATGCAAATGGGAATATGAGTCTAATAAAAAAATAATAATTACTCAAAACTACACCACGTTTCTGGTGTATTAATAAAAATACAGTATAGGTTTTGTTATTAAATTTAGATTTTGACAAAATTTACTTATACATCTTAAGGGATTGTGCCCATAAGAGGCAGAGGCAAATTTATAAGTACTAATTTGAAAAAAAAACATATTTATTAAAACACTAAAACTTAAATACAACCGAATGAACTATTTTCTAGAATTTATACTTTTTCGAAATGACAATTCTAGTGACAATTATTATTACACACTGTAATTCATAGTCGCAAGTGGTCATTGGGTTTGAAATCAAAATTTCAAGTTAATTTTTTAAGTATCATCAACAATTTTTTTTTTAAACTTGTCGTTGACTCTACTAATTGCCCTCCTATTAGGTTAACATAATAATATAATAAAATAGTGTTAACCTCCTGGTTGACAAGGGAATGGATCGGATAGTGATAAATGCGGATGAAATGTGATGGCGACGAGTTGAAATCGATAATTCCTGGATTGAATTGAAAAGAGATGATTGATAAGAAACAGAAACCCAGCTGACCATAAGACATGTTCACGATCCTCCAATGTTTTTCATTAGTGGAAAATATTGAATTTCCGAAAAAAAATTTTAAACACCCAGATTTTACCCAAATAACAGACGGTCATTTTTACCTTTGTCATCTGAAAGTTACTGTGTTTGTAGTAACAGTTGAGGATATTCTGCAGTATCTGACTGGCAATGAACCGCTGGTAACTCCTCCTGGACACCATGTACGGTTCCAGTATCTGATTGATCTCGTCAATGACTTCGAACGATCCGCTTCGGATAATAATCAACTTGTCGATGACATCGCCTAGAAACCGGTAATCAGTTATAAAAGACAGTTTCTTTTTCATAACGTTAGCTATGTATGTACGGAATCGGTTAATGCAACGTCACTTTTCCATTTTGCGTACATTATACAATAAAATTAGCGTTATCCCCAACAATACCGTATGTGGGCGGTAAGTTAGTACCGACAACTCTCCTTTGTCGAGCAAAATATTATTAATGAGGTTTTCTGGTGGTATTACTCACACAAATGGTCAAGTGTGGACAGAACTTGCTTTTCGTCGGACATCGCTATATCGGATGAAGACAGTTGGAATGTCTTGGCGATGCATTTGGTTATGATCAACGACCTCGTGCCCATGTCTACGGGTTCTATGTCGGGTACGGGTTTGCTAAAAAAAAAAAATAAAATAAACATGATATTATTTATACACGACTGCGGAACAATGAGGGTATTGTATTTTTTTTGGTGGTTTATTAACAGGCCACAAGATTACAGCCAGGAACCTCATTTTAGAACCTTCTGTTACATGCTAAATTACACGGTACTAGTAAGCCATACTACTCAAGTTTTTCTAGACCAGTTATTTGGAATTAGTAACAAAAATCACATTCAAGAAGAAAATTTAATGCAAATCTGTACACACACTAGACCCAGCTTTGGTAATATGTTTACTGAGCTGTTCAGGCTGTGCTGGGTTTTACAACAGTACTTGGATTTACTAGTCTAGTTTTCTAAATTGAGTGTTTAATTATGAACTTGGTACAAACAGTCACAAGATTTTCTGGCTTTTGGGTTTAGTGTCGGCGTCATCATATTATTTAGTTTTTTTATAATACATGTTAATCGTATACATTTTTTATGAGAATATTACCAATGACAATTATTATTATTAGCGTTATTAATACTACCGTAATAATAATTATTATAATATTATAATCGTACATATAAGATCCCAACACTTGGTAGTACAACGTATCGGTCAGCGAACTGTAATTGGTGATTTGCTCGACCAACATTTTAATGACAGTGTCCCGGATGATGGTCAGATTGGGTACGGTGTCGCTGTTGTCCACCTTTCCCGTGAGTTCGGCCACATTGCCCAGACACTTGATCAACAGTTTCTTAGTGTCCAGATTCTGATAAGACATATTATTCGCGTAAATAATTGGTGACATATTAATTATTTGTATTAATGAATTTCAGTAAAAGTATTTAGTATATCACACAGGTTAAAAAAATACATGTATTTTGTCTATCCCTGGCCGTACTCGTACAAGGTGGTACTACTGACCTTGGTCAGGCCTATTTGCTGGGTGATGAGTATGACGATGTCGTACACGGTGCTGATGACGGATTGGAGTTGCCCGTTTTTCACAATGTCTGACACGATGATAGCGATGGACGAGCGAATCTTGTCGCGGTTCAGCTCGTTGCCCTTGTCCCGGATGAGCACCAGAAACTTGTTGGGCTGCTTATTCAGCTCACTGCCGACAAACTCCAGCAGTTGCTTGACCACGAAACCTGTGTGCGCACGGCTCAGCACACCGATGGCGCTGGACAGTTCCTGTGTGAAAAAAAGTGTTAACATCGCTTACAGAAAAACTGTTTAAGATAAAAAAAAAAAATCATTAAGAATAAATTTTATTTTTTGAATGGTTAGTCTTCAATAAGAAAATATAAGGACATTTTTTTTTTTTTAATGATAACATAGTTGAATGGTTTTGAGTGGGAAATGTATTGTAAAAAAAAAGGTGGATGAAGCCGCTGATACGGGCTGTCCTAGATCAGCAGGGGTTTCCCACGTTCATCAAGCCATCCTTTTACTCAGTTATAACTGTCATCCTACTCTAAAATTGAAATATTTTATGGTGGAATGCCCTATATACTAATTGAATAGCTGAGTTCAGAAATTGGGCATGTCCTGCTGGATTGTGATGGGTTTAAAAATGGTGTGTGTATTATTCACATGTTTTTTTTGTACATTTTTCTTGTTAATAAAATGATCCGCTAAGTGTGATTATCTAAATTTGTAGAGGGGGCCAGCAGCCTATCAAATAACTCTTACAAAAGTGTCCAAAAGGGGGAGGGTAGGGGGAGGTGTTGTATTGCCTCCTAATAATGTACACGGCGGTGTTCATGATGCACTCACAACGCTGTTGTCGAACGCCATCCTGGCCAGCGACTGGAATATGAGGTGCATCAGCTTTTTGGTCAGCGACAATTCCCTGTTGTCGAAATACACGGCCACCTTGGCCACCACTTTGATGATGAGGAACATGTCGGCCGTCAGCGTCTTGGCGTGGTCGCACGTTTTCCCCAGCTCGTCCAACACCTTTTCGGTCAAGTGAAAACACCAATACTTGTCGACGTTTCCCTCTTCCAGCGCGATCGTCAGCGTGTTCAACAGCACCGCTTCCCATTGCTTCTGTCCGTTTTCCGGTGCGGCTACAAAACAACATTGGTAAGTATGCAGATGAGTTTCATTCCAAATACACGAGACACATCTTAATTTATTAATTATATTGAAACTCATGATTCAGATTTTAAATTCTTAATGATAACATATTGTTTTAAAATTTACTATTTTTTTAATAATGCCTTTGAGGTTTGATTTATTTTTATATAATCCTAGACACACTATGTACATTAGCATCATATACTAATTATTCCAATGAAACCGGATTAATATTTCAATTACCGAAATTAAAAATAAAATAGAGATCCGAATGTAACATAAATTTATCTACCTATTTAATATGAATAATTAGTACAGAAATTGACTTTAGGTTTATCACTGTTGAGTTAAAAATTTCTGAATATACAACTTTGGAGGCAATTTAAATAATAATTAGACGTTTTGGAGAAATTCTTAGGCTAGATGCGGGAAAAACTAAATAGAGTTTTGGTTTTACCTAAGTGTTGTTATATTACTTACGGCCATCGAGCTGTCATGTTGTTATTAACGTTAAAAGCTATTTACAAAAAAAAAATAGGCTTGTCTATTACCGTCCAAAAAGTGCACAAGTATGTCAGCGTGTTTCATCCAGAATGCCTTCTCGTTGTCAGACAAATCGTGAAAACCGTAATTGAGCAGGAAATTGATCACTGAACTGCCCCGGTGGTCTTTGAACGGTTGACACAACAGATACAGACACCGCGATACGATCAAATCTTTCTCCTGCACAAACCTAATGGACCCTGTGTGTGGATGTAGGAGAAAAAAAAATTGCAATAAGTAAATTTCAAAAGGTGACACTATTAATTTTAAAACAAACTATTGTGTGTGTGTGTGTGTGTGTGTGTGTGTGTGTGTGTGTGTGTGTAATCGTGTCTTGAGGTTTTTTTTTTGGTTTAACTTAAAAAAAAAACCTTTGACTTCTGAACGTTAGAGTCAACTTAAATCCACCTTCAGTTTAATGTTCAGACCACGAGTCTGTTCAAGTCCCAAAATTATGCTGCAAAAAGCGGAAAAAAAGAAAATGTTTCTACCCGTTCTGGAGGGAAAGGGTAAACTAAAAACTTTAATGCATATTACTCTTTATGTAACATTTCAAATATTTACTGCGAATTACAAAAAAAAATCATTATGACTACACACAGTACAAAACTTTAATCAACTTATCGGTTACACAAAATTTAGTATTATTATTATTTTATTTGAAACAATGCTTTTTAGTTTACTAAATTAATTAGGGAATATATTACAACTATATTAACGGTAAATAAAATTAAAAAGGCCATCACGCTCGGGGCCTACCGTTGACCATTCCTATCTAGGCCCACTTACTGTCCTGCATTGCCCTGGCCAGGATGTAATACACAGTAAACGGCAATAGTGAGAAAGCTTCTTACTCAAGTGCGACTTTGTGGCCATGTGCGCCAACGATCGGGCAATCGAAGGTATAGCGCTCTCGTACTCGGGATTGAGCAGACAACTCAACAGCTTGTTCCAGCACAACGTCTGCACCGGCTCGATAGAGGTGCACAAAATGTAAATGGCGTCTTCGCACGTCTGTTTGATTTGCTGACCTTCGTTTTCGTACGAATATTTGTTCTAGGAAAAAAATAAAACTAATTGTAACATTTAAAACATGTAGGTAAAATGTATTGTAGCGATGGTGTGTTTAGGCGGTCTAAGCGATCATACCACTTGAATGTATTGTCTTTTACATTAGATTAGATTAGGTTATGTAATACACTTTATTATCACCAATAATACCTAACCGTAGGGGTGGAAATGATGTCGGGACATTAAAATTATTTTATCGCTCAAATGTGATTCAGTTTAATTGCGCAATGCTCCCAGTTTAATTTCATTTAACTTTGTTAAAATCATTTTTCGTATAAAATGCTTAATGAATAATTGATTTAGAGGGAAACTAAGTTTTATATATTATAATCTATTAAAATAACAAATTCCGTATGTTGAACACAATTTGAAAATATTAAAAAAAATTTGAATAATTTCATTTTGACACTTTAAATCTCCAACATGCTGCAAGCAATTATGAATTATTATTATTATTTTAATCTTTATAAAGTTAAATTAGGTACTTGTTTTATATTTTAATTATTTTATTTCAACAGGCTGTTAGTACCGTTTTTCTTTATTTTGAGCTACTTCACCTAAAGACTGAAAATGCATTTATTAATTATTAAAAAGTCACATAATATTACAACTCAACTTTATCAATATGTTTTTCGCTCTTTGTTAAAAACATATTTAAAAAAAAAAATGAGTGAAAACATAAATGTTTTCATGTTTGGTACCATTAAAAAAAATATTATATTTTTTTAGTTTTTAAAATTGGATTGATAGTCCTTAAAAAAACGTATAACTATAACTTGTAAATTTAATCATTTAAATTGGATACGCTCTCGATAATTACACTTTATTAGTTATTAAATATTATTAATTGTTCTACGTTAGGTAATGGTTTACATTTGACGAGCCATAATTGCAGATGTTTCGTATCAGAAACTCTATAAAACAATCGTCTTTTTCGGTCAAGTGTCCTTGGTATGCGAAGCAAATGAATATTTTCACCAACAAGTTTTTCATCTGAAAAAAATAAAAACCATTTTTTAAATAAAAAAATTGCCCACGTCATTTATATTTGTATTATTATTAATTATATATTTTTAAGGTTGCCTATCAAGTAGTTTCCGTTAAACATAATATTTGGTTTAATACACAAGCAAGTTTTGAGTTCTATCATTATTATTTATTAGTCGATTATAAATTGTAAATTATTATTAACGCGCATTACTTGAAACGTGATATTGGACTTGAGCAGATCATACAGAATTGGTATGATTTCCGAAGATTTTGATTTTATGCTCTGGTTAGAGGCGTTCAACAAGTGTGAAGCGATAAGCAAAGCGCCCATCCTCCCTTGGTCAGAGTTGGACTGCAAGTCTCGCATGATGAGGTCGAAAATTTTATCGCCAAAGTGATTGCCTACAGCATAACAACCGTCTGTATATTAGTGGAGCTATAGATTATGTAGCGTTAGTAATATTAAATACAACAAAGATTGTCATTATCAATACAATGCCACTGACAAAGTGGTGATTCATCGTTCTTGTTACCAAACACCAAACAACGTAAAAGCCTACAGTTGTTGCGAATTGATTAAATCAAAATAAATTTGTGTTACTAAACCTATTTGAGTTGTACGTTACATTTAAATGACGAAAATAATATGCTAATATTATATTGTAATTACGTTAAAATTACGTACCCAAATAAGTGTAGCACCTAAGGACTTCCGAGTGATTTTTCATAGACATTGGATAATCGTAATCTGGCATGACGACCACCTGGAAACGAGTGCAATAATAATCAACTGTTAGTATCGAGTACAAATAATATTTTCACTACCGTGTGTGTGTTTAATATGCTTACCATGTCGTGCAAAATTAAGAACAGGTTGTCGATGACTGGATCCAACATACCCTCTGATGCTACAGATAGAAAACTAGCCAAGTACTGTGTGATCCAGTATCGAGACAAGCCGACGGACGCACACCTCTTGTATAAATTCATAATATTGGTCAGCACAGATATGACGCTTTTGTTGATGGTTTCTTTGCTCAACAACATTATGATCGTGCTGAACGCTTCGAGAACGCATTCGTAAACCTTAAAGGCAAGGACAGTTGAGAAAAACAATTGAAAAAACTTGGTTACAATCAATACGGCGTTTTTTAGAACATATTCTAATAATTATAAACAGTAAATTGGGGCTAAAACAATAATTTCAAAAAAAAAAAAACCTTATAGCCATTACATAGCAGTAATTTACGATTTACTGACCTTGACGTCTTTCGATATCAACCAAGAGTGATTCATTATTTTAAACACCTCTTCCACTTTGGCAGAATATTTCAACTTGGTCTGGTCAAAATCTGTAGACTCGCACTCGATTATGGAAGCACACACTTGTCCAATAGCTATAGCAAAAATGTATGACGACAATTCACAATACAAGTGAGTTTATACTACCAATAGGTTAAAGTATAAAATATATATTTATAATTTACTCCTGTTATGGGAAATTTACAAAATTTGTAGTTGACAAACTTTACAAAGACTTTATAAGTATGATGTTCTCATGTAAAAATGTTTTTAAAAAAAAATGCTAACCCGTTGCGTATATTTTCCGATGAGCGTCCGATTTGATTAGTACCAAAATGGAGCAGACGGACGACAAAAATGATTCGACAAATCCAATGAATTTCTGTGGATGGTTGGCCGCTAGATGTCCAAGAGAATAGATTATTGAACAATGAGGAGGTATGCCTTCTTGTAGGTGAGACATGAGGGTTTGAATAATCTTAAATACAATATAATACAGACATGATATTATGTGTTTGAATATTATGCCTATACTTATTTGGCAAATAAAAAGCAATGTATTTAATTATAATTTATCTGTGGTAAAAACTAAAATGTATTACTTGTTCAGAACGACCACGTCCTAATATAATGAGGATATCAGACGCCCGGAACTGAGAGTCCGACGACCGGATCATTTCATTTTTGGCAAACTGAACTAGATGGTTTGTAAGCTCGGCATCAAATTCGTTCAGGTGCTTTTCGCATACGACTTTCATTACCGATAACAGTGATTTAGTCTCGACAACGCTCAACTGAAATTGTGATGAGACGACATTGTTAATTTAATACATAAAACCATAAGTACTTTTCAAGTTTGCAAATAAAAAGGTTAGGTTTTGTAAAATAACCAACGGTTAGATTCGGAACTTCAGACAAACATAATAATATAATCTACGACACAGTGCACAGACTGGGTGTACTCACCGAGTTTTGCAGTTTGTAGTGTATCATGTTTTGGATCACATGTTTGGAATGCGTTTCGGCCAACTTTTGCAGAGACAATGTGACAGCGCTCAGAACTTTTTCGTCGCGATCTGCGGTCAACATGTGTAAGAGACGATCGACGACGCCTGTTAAAAAAAATGTGATAACAGAAATCATGATTTAGGAAAAACAATTGCAATAGTTAAAATAACGTATAACGAACTTTGATTAACAATATTAAATATATATATATATATATATATATATATTAATTTATTCAATCGATGAGTACTAGTGTATAAAGTAACTATTTTAATACAGTAGAACAAATTATTATATAGATAAGAACCAAAACGAGCACAATCGATAGAGAATATTTAAGTTTAGTGTTTATGTTAGTAACTCGGCAGTGTAAATGTAGATGAGTGCTGTTTGTGATCACAGTAGTGTTTAAAAAATAACCCTTGTCCATCGATTGCCAGCAATGGTTGTGTGGTTTTTGTTAAGATTTAACGGGCGAAAAAGGGGCCTAGGAAATGGAATATGGCCGACTGAACAGCCGTAAGACAAGGGCACAGCTGGTCGACAAAACAGAGTATGTGTTGTATGAATATATTTACTGTGTTTATCGTAACTCACTCTGGACGTTGATGTTTTTGCTCTCGGCCTCGTTGCTTTCCTTGCCGAAAATCTGCTCCATCCTGTCAGGGCTTGTTGGCTAGATGGCGGCGATAGAACGACGGAGTCGGGCCTTGGCTGGTCGAAGGCGAGACTCTCGGTGTCTGCACTACGACGAATCGACACCCTGGCCCATCAATGAAGGAAATCCGAGACAGGGGGCCACGATTGGCAACAAACAACCAGCAAACCGCGTTAGGACGACATCGAAATCTGCTATGCTCGTCGTCGCCCGTCGGTAGGGTTTATGGCTGTTTTTTTTTTTCAATATTACCTATATGTATTGTGAACTTGAAGTTTATTACTATAACTAAGTACGGTTAAGAAGTATATTTGTGTGTGTTTTTTTTTTTATGTTTATTTGATATAATGACTCGACTTTGTCCTCAGACAGTGATGACAATAACATGTAATAATATTAAATATATAATAATAATAATAATGTTCTAACAATCGTGATCTGGCGATACAACAGCAACAGAAACTGTGATAACTAGTGCAGCGGCGCTGATAAGGGATGATCCGATGATAAGTCACGCCACCTGGAGACGGTCGGACGGTAGACGTGGTGTCGTCGCCGGTGCGGGCAGCGCTGACCCGCTGCCGTCAATTGACCGAAATGGGTAAAGTTTTAAAAAAACGCACCTTTTTTGCTGTTTTTATTGAAAAGTTTGACAAAAATTCTATTTAAATTCATTGTATTGTTAATATTTGTTTTTGTATAATTTCAAAAAATCATATTATTTCAGTAGAATACGATTGGTTTTCTCTTACACTTTACATTACTTTAATCACACAAATCATAATAGACTAGATTAATTTAATTAATTAATCACTAGACTAAAATTATTTAACTTACCCTGTGCTTTAATTACAATATTATGAATGACCAACCGTATATTTAGTTATAACGCTGAAATTTGGAGAAACTATCCAAATAATCGTAATTTATTAACATTTCAATATATTTTTACTTTACATATTGTATTTACTAAAAAGTGTAGCGTGAATTATTTAAACACGTCTATTGAATTATTGAAGTAGCGTATTTGTACGAAAAAAAAGTAAATTACATCAACTTTGCATCAAATTTGTATATTAATTTCGAGGTCATTTTAAAATTCAGTAGGAAAAATTTCCATTGTACTAGCAGAGGTTTTAATCGACTTCCTCGAAAATACGGTATAATTTTATAGGCACAGAAGCAAAATCTATGTAGGTATATTAAAAAGTTAAAACTATAAGCAAAATTATATTTTTCTTGAAAAGAAAAACATTTGTCAATACCAATACCGCAATTATGATATTTTGATGTACATCTATATAGTTTACAAGCGAAAAGCGATAATTTTTAACATAATAAGATGGTTTTACAGAATTTTTTGTTGGTGCTGACAGTTTATAACTCCAAAAAATTATGTAAAAACAATTTGTCCGTTCTACAAATGAACCCATTTCAATTATAAATATTTTTTCCAGATAATACATTTTTTACGCTTAAAATGCTGACAAAAACCGAACGTAGCCGACACATTTAGAAAACAATTAAAACTGTCTATAATGACTATATATATTTTTTTTTAACCAAGTATTTTTGAGCCCAAGGTCCTATGTTACTTAAATATCCCTACTATTTTTATAATACACCTATGATTTTAAAGGCTTAAAAATGAAATATTAATATATTTAATTATGAATATTTAGTTATAATTATTGTTTCTAAGGACGGTTATTTTTTTAAATAAGTTATATTAAATTATAATCTATCAATGCTACCGCTTGTCCTTGAGTAATGTTTTTTTTTGGAATGTTTTGCCCTCTATTTCTTATTGTATTATCAATACAGTATTTGTTGGAGACACATTTAAAAAGAAAAAAAAATACTACAAGGAAGTTTGACGGCAAAAAAACGGAAAACTTAATTGGGACTTAGATTAGGCTAGGATAATATTATTATCAAGCCTATACATTTGTTGTCGGTATAAATGTATAATACTTGTTACAAATGTTTTTTTTTTTGTGACAGGTGTTTATAGATTTGGCATAGAGAAAGCTTTTTCATGATTTTCTATGAATTTTAACACAAGTCATTACAGCAAAATGTTAATTTCCAACTGCCTGGTATTATATATTATATATATTCGAATATTAATATTGAACCGAATTTTCCTCGTTATTACCGCATTACGTAATACTACTGTTATTATGTGCATTATCAATGAGTTTACCATTATAACAATGTTGTGCCCGACCCGGGTCAGCGCTCATTGTTCGACCGCCGACGTCCGACCTACGTGGGCACCGCCAATCAAGGTCGGTAGGAAAAACGAGTTGCCGGTGCCGCAGGCCGCGGCCACCGCCGCCGTTTCAACAGCAGTCCATGGCTGCCGCTGCCGTCATTTACTAACCGCACAACGACCGTCGCAGTCGCACTACAGTTCGTCGTTGCTGATAATCGTTTCATTTGGACTTGCACGAAACAGGTAAATTTCATTATAACAATAACAATAATATTACTATATAATATTATCTAATCGTAAACGATCATCATATTATTAAAACTTCGCCGCCGACGTGTCGAATAATATATCGTTAATGACGTTCATTTTTTTTTTTTTCATTTTATACTTTGGATAATAATATAATTGTTGGCCAAATAATCCTGTGGCGGCGTCGGCCGTACCGAAAGAGGGGGAGACGCCGACATCAAAATCGTGCGATTGAATAAATGCCGGTTTTGCATGTTGATGTATTATTTTTCGTGTTTGTCGAATAAAGTGTAGGTACACCATGGCGTGTACGAGCAACGAATGGCATTAGTGTAATTATTATGTATGTACATCATTATCGGTAAATTTTTATCGTACATTATGACGTGTCTGTGTGTGCTACACTAATAATATTATCGTAGAGCTTCTTTCTGCGGTTAAAATATACACTTCCATTATATTAATGTACACCGGCGGATTTTCGCCGGGTTGCGCAACTCTTTTCGTTTTACCTCTAACCTAACCTCACCTGACCCTCCCACCACCTCGATAATCGTAAGTGCCAAGTGGCATGAAAAACAAAAAATCAAATAGCATAGTGGTAAATTATAATCATGAACTTTTCCGTAGTACAAAGAGCAGTTCCGAAATATTACAAAAAGTTTCGATAAAACTACATTTTTTTTTGAAATTGACGTTCGTTTTTTTGGATTGCGCAATATCGATTTGAATTTCAAATGGCGTCGTCCAACCAGTAAAATAATACTATAGTAATTGAATGTATTAGGCATTATTTTATCCGGTATTCCCTCTCGGTCGCGTGACGATTACATAACGCAATCTGATCGAACCATAGCTTTATTATACAATATTATTTATCTCGGTTTTGTATCGTTTTTAAAACCGTTGTGCCTGAAATATTGCGGCAGTGTGGTGTATACCGGGAAATCCACATTTTTCGTTCAATAATCGTTTATTACGGGCGATATTCTTAATTGGATGATAATAACACAATGGACAATGGTCGGAACCAGAGACACAAAATATCCAGTGTTGTCCAAAATGGTTGAAATATCATGTATATTATTAGTTACATAACAACATTCAATAGTCCACGGGCATATGAAATACGGCCGCCATAAACGATACCGAAATATGGCGTTCACATATGGGCTTGCGTACAAAATTGCGTTGCTAAAAAAGTATACGGCGTGGCGTGTGTACACACTTGTAACCTACGGTGCACGTACCTAATTTAATCAACATAAAAAATGCCCAATATCTATACACAGATTCGTCCGATATACCGTAGAAAGGTAAATATCGTTTAAGTTTTGAAACGTAAAAAAAATAAAAATGTAAATGTTTTTCATTTCAAACAATTTTGGACACCACTAACTGCTAACCTACCGTTATATAATACACGGTTATATGGAGGACGGCGTTTTTTGATTTAACGATGTTTCTCCTGTTACATTTTACAGTAGTATAATATATATCTCGTTACAGTCTTAGACTTTCTAAAGGGGGTTTCTTTTTGTGGTTTTAAAACGAATTCTTCTTTTTTTTTTTTTTATCTCGCCGTCGATTGTTGCCAGCCACTCCGACATTATGATAATTTATATTATTTTCTACTCGACGTCTGTGTGTGTGCGTGCGTGTATACACATCAAAGCACTTGAATCGATTATAAAATATAATAATTATCATGTTATTATTATTGTCAGACTTACACAGACAGAGAGAGAGAGAGAAAATCATTCGAGTGCCGGCGGCCACTTGTTGATAATAATCCACTTTCCACTTGTTAATCGTTATCTAATATTTGATTTATTATTATTAATATTTTATATTTAAATATATAATCGACAATCGTCGTCTCGGTATAATAGTGTAATGGAAATGAATTCAACGATTTGCAAACTTAACCTCAAGGTCCCGCCACAGCACCACATACTGTGTGTGTGTGTATGCAGAATATCCGTAGTCTATTGTCAATAGATGGTATAATATTATTATAACTTCACCGTAGACTTATGATATTATACACGTTAGCGTTTCGTTGTGTAATAACGTAGATGCCAAAAATAATAAAACAATAATTCCATCATCATCTTATTGAGACACAGTTTGACGTTTGATCGACCCTAAAGATTGATGACTTGCGATTTTCTTTACATCAATCAAACCAAATGTAATCAATCATATTTTATTTATTTAATTATTATTATTTTACCACATTTTTGTAGGTATTTAAAATATCAAAGCTGTACGTAGATATTTTTTTCTTTAAAGTTACTTGAAATAAAATAAACATAATATTTCAATTTACTGTTAAAAGTTAATTTCAACATTACTCTTATCAAAACGTATACTGATTATAAAAAATACATTATTTTAGGTTTCTTACTAACAGTAACGCGTTATATAATGTTGGCTTGGCTCATTGAGTAATTATTTTGGTAGAAAGTGTTACACTAATAAACTACAAGGATTTTTTTTTCTCACCAAAAACCTAATTTTTTACAGTCACTGAGGAAGATTTAGATTCAATACAAAGTTTTAATTTTCTAACATAAAGAATATCATACATAATACTAGGTATATATATCTATTAGTTACACGAAGATCATACATTTCTGATAAGAATTTAACTTTTTACAGTTACTTTGTTGTTTAGAAATGTAACTCGTTAGGTTAACATGATATATGTATACCTATTAAAAAGTTGTAAACTTATTACGTCTTAAAAGTTGTCACTATACGAGTACACGTTATTTTGTTGGGTAGTAGTCGGGTAAAGAGGATAGCAAATTTTGATATTGATTCAAAAGCTGTCTGCATATTTGTTGTGTATTAAGTCAAACAAAAATAAAAAATTATTATTAACATTGTCGTCGGTACTACTATCAATTTTTGCTGCGGTCGTGACGTGTATGTACAATTAACCATTGTAATTATTATTGACATGAGTATCTAAAAAAAAAACTATTAAGTTTATCATACTTCAATTTTCGTTTATTGACAAATTAATTAACAACTGCGTCCGAGATGTTTTTTTTTTTTTGTCAATACAGAGATAGCCTATGACCTGTCAGTAAATTTATCCATGTTAATACTGATACCGATATCTGTCATCATATAAATGAGAGCAAATAGACTAGATTTCCCCCCCCCCCCCTTACATGTATCAGTATATTTTTTGTATTCCTTATAGATCAGATGAAAAGCCATTTCTCTTTCTAATTAACTTTTGCCATCATTTATCATCCATTCGGTTATAGTCATATTAAGTAATAATAACAATAATTGTTTTGTTTACAGTAATATGATTGGAGATAACATGCTAAAGAGATGATAATAATAATAGTATGATACATTTCGAACGATCGATCATTTTGATTTGGTTATAATTATAAATTTACAATTACTTCTCGTTAAAAATATTTTAAATGAGGAAATTAAAAGTAACACTTGATGTGTGTGTCATCTTTACATAAAACATATTTTTCTCCTTCAAGTTTCATTAAATGATATGATCTTAAACGTATATCTGTATTACCTTCGTAGTATTATGTGTGTGTGTGTAATGTAAATTATTAATATATCATTTTAATAATATTGTTTTGTTTCCCTACAGAAAAAATGGTTTTAGCACTCGAGAAACCAGCGCCGAAATTCAGCGGAACCGCCGTGGTAAACGGAGAGTTCAAAGACATCTCACTGGATTTGTACAAAGGAAAATATGTCGTTTTCTTCTTCTACCCGTTGGACTTGTAAGTGTATACACCGATTACTTGAATATTTCGCGTGTGTGTGTGTGGTAAAAGTTTTTAATTTTTCTCAATTTGAAACGGCAACCTTTTACTTGTTCTGAAAACTGACTATTGGATGATTAATTGGTGATGTTGTGTTGTAGAAAAATATTGTGTTTTATATTGTTGCATTTAAAGAAGACAATAACAACAAGTTGCTGATCATTTTTAAAAAACAATGATTTTAAGTTTTATATTTCTTACGTGAGCTCATCATTTAAGGCGGGCACATCATATAAACAATACCTGAAAGATTTATCTCTAATTGTTGTTCTTTGTTTATTTGTTTTCTAGCACGTTTGTGTGTCCCACTGAAATCATCGCTTTCTCAGACCGCGCTGACGAGTTTGCCGCCATCGACTGCCAGGTGATTGCGGCTTCGTGCGACAGCCACTTCAGTCATTTAGCGTGGGTCAACACCCCGCGCAATGAAGGCGGTCTTGGAAAAATGCAAATCCCGTTGTTTGCCGACAAGTCTGGCGCCGTGGCCAAAGAATACGGAGTGTACAATGAGACATCGGGCATCCCTTATCGAGGTCTGTTCATCATTGACGGCAAAGGTAACCTCAGACAAATCACCATCAATGACTTGCCAGTTGGCCGATCGGTCGATGAGACTTTGCGACTTGTACAGGCGTTCCAATACACAGACAAATACGGAGAAGGTAAACAGAGAAAGCGTAACTTAATAAAAATAATCGCTGTTAGGTTCAGTAACAAAACTAATACTACCAATGCCATAAAATATTTTGTTTACAAAAATGCTTTATCGACTGTGTTTAATTTGTTTACAGTTTGCCCAGCCAACTGGAAACCTGGTAGCAAGACCATTAACCCGGCGAAATCTCAAGACTACTTCAAAACTGTCCAATAAACGCGTTATTCGTTTTGTACCAGACCCGTACGAAGTTATTAATCGCCATTAACACCATGGCGTCTGTGTGTAACTGCTCGAGGGTCTTGAAAAAAACATAACTTATGGGAATAAGGGGTGGTACAATAATATTAATTATTATAATATATTACTTATTAAGAAAGAATTCTTTTGGTATTCTCACGCTTATTAAGATACTTATTAGTTTTATTACTTTTTTTTCTACAATACTTGTATATGAATTATTTTATTTATCTGTTAAATTTATTTGTATTTTGGCCATAAACAAAGAAAAATAAATAAATAATACATAGAATTATTTTCAATAATTTTTGTATTTGGTTTTATATGATACATTTTTCTAGTTGGGGTTTTATTTACAAAAATAATAACGACATTACAGTTAAGCGAGAATGACGAACTTTAACCGTCTTAAGTGAGACGAAATAAATAGAATAATATCCTAAATAAAAAAACAACTAAGATAAAACATTAATTTTGTTTATAAATTTCCACGGCACATTATAATTTTTTTTAGTCTAGTCTCTTAAGTTTTTCTTATAGGTAATTGGTGTTGTTATTGTTTAAAATATATTTCACTTGTGTTCAGTATCAAGTACTAGACGAGAAGGGCAGAGATTAAATAAAAAAAAAAAGTACTAAAAACCCTACCAATGCATTGTATGCTTAATAATAAATCATTATTATAGTTTGATATTAAAATATGAACATTTAAAATTATTATTATTATTCAATTTAGTATAAAAAGTAAAATATGGTAACTTTTTTTTTTTTATGTATGTATAAGTGGATTTTTTTTTTGTCATTTGATCAGTTTCCATAATTGTTCTGTTTACCGAGTAAACAAATTTCAACTAAACGTTAGCAACGGGCAAATGTAAAATGTTTTTAACATAAAGCCTTGTATTATTGGATGTGACATGTGGATATGAGACATGAGAGTACAAAATGCCCCGTGTGTACTAAATAATAAATTAAATCACAAGAAAACTGTGGAAAACTAAATTTTTTAATTTAACTGTGTCAAAGGTATAATAATAAATTAGAATATTTTTTTACGGTGAACACAGAAAATGTTTCGACGATGACCATGGATTCAACTTAAAAAAAATAGTTTGGCTTGTTACATTAAATTAACAGCCTGAATAGAAAATACGGATTACATCATATACAATATTATTTTGAATATATTAATATATAACTCCATAAAGAAATTCTCCTTTGTTTGTTCCACAAAAATGCTGAATTTTGTTGTTTTAATAATTTAACTTGGTATGCTTTTTTTCAAAAGAAATAACTTAACGGCGTTAAAAGTAACTTTTATAAGTTAAAGTTCCTTTCCATAAAGAAATTGATGCCAATCAAATTAAAAAATGAATTGGGTTGAAGAAACAACATTAATGAAGTTAATTTAGCATACAAATAGCGAACATATAACAGCAATGCTCATGTGGAATGTTTGTTGAAACTAATAGAACCAAAAAAAGATGTTCTACTTTGAATAGAAACTTAGAGATGGTATCACCACAGAACAGACTATTCATCTAAGTCTATTCTGTGGTTTTACCGTTGGCATTTGATTAATATTATTTAAATTAATTAATTACATTAAAATAAAATGTATTATTTTTAGTAATTTTCCTAGCCGGCTTGTACATTTACCGAGTTACTTTATTGAATGAATTAAGCTTTATCAATAACAATTAAGTGTTTTGTTAGTCCAATAAATCCAATCATAACTAGTTGAAATAAATGACTGAACTTGTTCAGCCTTGGAAATCTACGAATTTATTACAATGTTGTACGGACAATTGCATCTCTAGCACAGTCCGAATCCTCGGAACCGTCTCCCAAATTTCACACACACACACACACACAGTCTTCTACACTAATGTAGAACAGTTCAGTAATTAAATGTCAATAGGCTTATATTTTGGTTTGGTAAGTTACTATAGTGTATTTCAAAAAAGCCTGCGATGATTACTTAGAACATTTTTTTCTTATCACAATTAATTCGACGCCGCTGTCGGCTGTTGGACTACTATAGTTGATAACATTTTCCGCTGTGTCTTATCAGTGACCGCGGTTGGCGTAATTTAATATTTCTCCGTTGGCACTACTGTGGTGACTGTTATCAATAATATTGTTGTGGTTTTCCTTTTTTTGTTCATTTTTTCATCGCCAAAAAACGAGGTTTTAAAATTTGAATTTTTTTTTTTATTATTATTTATTTGTCGATTCTTCCCTTACCAATCGCAAGTACCTTGGTACTTGCTAACAACCTACCCCCATCTACTATATAGCAGCTGTTATTCGACTCGACCATTATCGTTATGGTAGATGGCTTTTTTTTGGTATTATCGTTTTTGTTTTGTTTCAATTTAAATATAATATTTTAATTTTTAACGCCGTTGTTGAACAATAATAATTATTATTCAACTCCTCTTCTCTAAAGCTTTAACCAGTAATTAATTTCCCAACTTCGTATTTTCGCTCTTTATTTTTATCGTGCGACTTCTGTAGTTATAACGAATTTACCTAGCGCAATATTTTAATGATATTTATTATTCCTCACTTGACTGTCGGCTCGTCTTGAGATAAGGTTTGTATTGATTTTAAATTATTTTTACATTTAATTAGCTGTTCATGGAATTTGCTGCAGCCGTCAATTGGTACGATGACACGTAGACACGCCTCGAGGCGTTTACTGTTTAACTTGGTCGATTTCTCACGCCGTTCAGTCATGTTGTATTGATACACCTTTTGCATAGCACAAAATGACTTAATCGTGTACGAGAATAATACATATATATATTATTATAATAATAAAAAGAGCCCGAGAATTTCAGATATCAACACCATACATTAATCGGCCACTGTACATTAGTCTTATCAAATATTATTCATCAGTCATAGTCGTTATTAATCACTTATTTCAAAATTGCTAACTTTTATACACCAATTTGATAATTAGTTGCTACTGTAACTTTTTTCTTCCAATTTGGAACATTTTCTTTTAAACTTATTGAGTCGATAGACTTAGTGAGCCTATATAAAGGCTCAGTTAAGTCCTAAGTCTCTTAAAAAAAACTATTAATCCTGCTCTCTGTATTATAATTTGTTTGGAAACATTTAAAATAACAGATAGCTTGTAAGGAACTCTAATTGGTAGCACTTTAAAGGTTTCATAATTTAAAGATGTTGACCATTTTTATTCTTTTTTTGTCTAAACATATTCTTACAGCTAAGTTCTGTTGTATTATTAAGGGTCTTATTGCATTATCTGCACACCCTTCCAAGACTATTAACCTATACTGCATAGCAGTATGCAGAGCTTGATAAACAGTACGCATGACTTCAATTGGTAAAATTTAGTCTAGTTTATAGAGTTTAAAACTTACTGATCTCAAACGAATTGCGGTATTCTCAATAATATGTAATATTCATATCTATAATTAAACCCAGATATTTTTTATTTGTGTTAACCTAATTATTTTCTGACAGCTACATGTAGTAGAGTAAATATTATCACATGTGCGATGAATAAATACAATAATGTATATCATTAATAGTAGGAATAGTTGTGTTGTTAATATAGAAAGCAACAAATTTGTTTTTTTTTTTTAAATATTTAAAGTTAGTTTTCTACTATTTATCATTTGAAATTAAAAGTTACTAAAGTTGCTTTTTTTGTACTATTTACCAGCATTCAGGAAAATGCTTTATTAAAAAAAAAGAAGTCAAGTGTCGTCAGCATACTTAACCACTAATCAATCTATATTTAAATCACCAGTACAATTAGACACGTATGGCACGTCATAACCAATTTGTTTTTCACTACTCAAAACAATTATTGAAACAATTTATTTCCTATTATTCAGATGGCTAGAAAACCAACTGAGACTTTCTCGGTTTATTCCAAAATCAAGCTAAATATTATTTAGTTGTTTGTGATGTTGAATGTTTTAAGCTTTTGCTAAATCTAAAAAAAAATTTCCATGACTTTGTTGCGATTATCTAATTTATCATTTATGAATTTGGTCGTTGAATAAAGAGCATATTATGTAGTACCTCTGCCAGGACGAAAACCAAACTGATTTTTTGATAATAGTTCATTTTTTCTAAGATCAATATAAGCCTCGTTTTAACTAGGTATTTTTTAACAATATTTTAGAGAAATTGCATATCGTCGCTGATACTGCAACAGCGCGTATCTCAATTTCAAGTATTTTCAGGAGAAGCAAAATAAGTTTTTAAATGAATAAGTTTTGATATAATTTGTGTTATCATTTTTATGATTTACAGTGCAACTATAAGTCTGATAAAAAAACATCACTAACGAAATATTTTCTGCGGGACGTGATTTATCAATATTGGTAATAATCTCATTTGGCCAAATTTTGATATACGCGCTGTTGCAGTATCAACGATAATATTATAGGTAATGGCCTATAATTAGACACATTGTCTTTTTTCCTAATTTATACAAAAGCTTAACTATAGCTTTGTTTTAAATTTATTTGGGAAGAAACCTTGTTTAAAACTTAAGTTAAATATAAACATTTAAGGTGTTACAAAATAATTTCCAACTATTTTTAATAATTTAACTGACATTCTAAGCCACATCCACATGCTGTTTCATCATTTAAATTTTTATTATATTTAACACTTAATCCATTATATTTAATATAATGGATATCTAATATCGTTATCTACTTATCCTCTTGTATCTATATTCATATCACCTATTATTGTTGAGCATTCATTATCAGGCTCTTAAATTATTAAAATTATTAAGCAATCTTTCAAGAAATAAACTACTATTTTGAAGGGTGTGCACAATACAAGACTATTAGCTTATTATTTGTAAACATGGACAGCCTTAAAATACTACTTTCTTTAAAATCATATGCATGTAAATCGGACAGTTAAATTTTGATTTACAAAATAACAACACCATCGTTTTGATTTTGTTTTATTGAAGAACAGTATGTGTTTAACCAGTTATAGTATAAAAGCTATCTGCAATGTTTTGCCAGTTTTCTGTTAAAATAAGATTATCTATTTTGCTGAATGTAATTCTTCGAAATTAGCACACAGACTTTGAGTCTAAATTTTATGATTAAAACTATTTACAAATTTATGGTACTGGATGTAATAATTGTCATATTTCTCTACTGTATTATGTTGATTCATGATTGTAATATATTAATAAAAGAAAAAGACCTTAAAACTAAAAACGGAGAACACATTAAACAGTTAGTTGTTTAACTTTTGAAAATGAATTTTTTTCCGTTCTTAGCGGATATTATTATTGTACAATTAACAGTCGAACTTTGTCATTGTTTCAGCTAAAAACAATCTGCTCGTAGCGGGAAAGACCTAGTCATTATTGTGTAACCTGCTGCAGTCTGTGATATTGCGTTGCTGAAGAAATTTCAGGTAAGAAGTAATAGGGAAACATTACTTAAATAGAAACTGTAGTCAAACTAACGACACATTCACCCCCTCAATCCTCTTTAGTATGTCAAACTAGAATTATAATAACACAGCCCTGTTAAATGCTTTATAGGTTATAGGTATCGTTTTAGGAACATCTCGTAGATCTTATAATAATTTTGCTTATAACAAAACTTAGGTATAAAAAAATTAGGTCAAAATGTTCAGTTAAAATTGAAAAAACAAATTGTTTTAAAACTATTTAATTAAGTTTTTAATTTTTAAATTGAAATTGTTTTCACAATGAATGTAATAATAATTCTTTTTTTTCTCATTTTCTCAACGTTTAAAACTAGCTAGATTGTGGACAAACAATTTTATAAAATTTTTTAACATGTGTTCTTATATAACTTAATTGTATTTTTTTTTTTTAATGATTAATCTTTATAAATAAAAATTAAATGCTGTTCGTTGGTAAGCACATCACTTAAGAACAGATGGACCGATTTGGCTCGTTTTTTTTTAATTTTTTAATTTTCGTAATAGTCCGAATAAGGTTTTTACGTGGGAAAAATTGTAAAAGTTGCCAGAAAGATGGAAAACTGAAAGTGTTTTTATTAAGGACAACGTCTGTCGAGAATCAGCTAATTTTGTAATAAAAGTATAATTTTTGTAAGATGAGAAACATTTTTAAAGGTAAAGGAAAATGATTTGTCCGGCTTGTATACATAAGTAAATACTAAATAGTATAACGTAATTAACTATGTAATTGTTGAGCTGAAATATAAAGACTATTAAAAAAATAACATTAAACATTACAATTATCTCAATTCAGCGTATTTACCCATTACTCGATTCATTTACATTTTGTTTGTCACGAGCAACGATCTCCCTTTCACTTTTCTCTGTTTTTCTCTCCTATCAAAGCCTAAAATCATTATCAGGCTACTACATTCTTAGCTTAAGCCTAAACATCTCACAATTTTTGTTTAAATTAATATTTTTTATTTATTTTTTTACAGGTGCCAGACGATTACGGATCCGGCCTTGTGTTCAACATATTTTCATAGTCAATAAGTAAACACCTCAAAAAGTATAATATTGTATTTAGTATTGCCCAATCATGTCAGTCAAAGACGTGCGTTTCGGTTACGATTTTCCGTCCGACGTCAACGTGCAAGCGTGCATGGACTGCATCCAAGATTGGGAGCTGACGTTCGCCTGCGTGCCGGTGTCCAACCTGAGGCTGAAGGCCGGCGACTGCAAGCCGTCGGACACGGTGCTCAACCCGGAGTTCTCGCGCAAGTGGTGCCACTGCGTGGTGGCCAAGGTGTCGCAACCGCCGTCGGACGCCGACAGTGGCGGCGGCGTTAGCAAACCTCAAGAGCAGTTCGTCCGGGACGTGTCGTGGGCCGCGTTCCTCAACGTGTTCAGCGTCATGTTCGACCTGCCGCTGGACACGGACCTCGTGCACCTGGTCCGTCTGTTGGACAACCAGATCGACGCGTACCTCGAATCGTCCGTGTCGCTGCAGTTCTGGATTGCGGTGCCGGTGTGCTGTGCCGACGCGGCCACCACCGTGCCGGAGGACACGTGGCACAAGTGGTCCCGGCTGGTGTCCATGGCGCGGAACGCGGACCGGATGAAGTTGGCGCTGCGCGTGGGACCGGAACTGCCGACCGAAGATGGCACGCTGGACCGGTGGCTCGGCGAACCGGTGACGGCGTTGATCGTGGACACACGGTCGTTCGTGGCCAACCGCAAAGGCTTTCCCGTGTTGCCCAAACGGCACCAAGAGTTCCTCAAGAAAATGTTCAATGTCGGCGCGCAGCTGATCGTGTCCGGACCGTCGGCCGTCCGTCAGCACTTCAACTATCTGGCGCACCTGTACGAGAACACGACGCCGCTGACGCCGTACTCGTCCGACTACATCAGCGGCTACGAGGACTATCTGCAGACGCCGCTACAGCCGCTCCAGCACGACCTGCAGTCGACCGTGTACGAGACGTTCGAACAAGATCCGGTCAAGTACCACGAATACCGGCGGGCCATCGGCATGGCGTTGGCAGACAAGGCGGTGACGGCCGGGGCGGGCGAGGCGGCCGAAATAGTGGTGTACGTTTTGGGCGCCGGCCGTGGTCCACTGGTGGAGGCCGCGCTGGACGCGGCCGACGAGCGCGGCGTCCGGGTGCGGGTGTGCGCGGTCGAGAAGAACGAGAACGCGTTGCCCACGCTGTACACCAAGAACGCGACCGACAAATGGCGCGACCGCGTGACCGTGGAGTGCGCCGATATGCGGCACTGGCGGCCGGCTGCCAAGTGCGACGTCATGGTGTCCGAGCTGCTGGGCTCGTTCGGCGACAACGAGCTATCTCCCGAGTGTCTGGACGGCGCGCAGCGGTACCTCAAGGACGACGGCGTGTGCATACCGTGCAGTTACACGTCGTACGTGGGCCCGGTGCAGTCGCGCAAGCTGCACGCCGAGATAGCGTCGATCAAGCGCAAGGAGCTGGAGTGCACCTTCCAGCGGCCGTACGTGGTGCAGCTGAACAACGTGTACACCATCGCGGCGGCCAAACCGCTGTTCACGTTCGTCCACCCCAGACCGATGGATGGCGAACGCGACGACAGAGCCAACAATCGGGACGGCAGCTTGTCGTTCGACGTGCCGCAAGACTGTATACTGCACGGGCTGGCCGGCTACTTCGAAACGGTGCTGTACAAAGATGTCCGGCTGAGTATCGTGCCCGAGACGTTTAGCCAAGGCATGTTCAGCTGGTTCCCGGCCTACTTCCCCCTGACCAGCCCCGTCGCCCTGACCAAAGGTGAACGGCTTCGGATCAACTTCTGGAGGTTCGCCGACAAACACAAAGTCTGGTACGAATGGTGCGCGTCGTTGCCCCAACAGACCGTCATACACAACGTCAACGGTACAATGTATTCGATGTTGTTATAGTTTACGCCGATTGTTTTTTGACGAATAAAACAAAATACAATTGCTACTCATTACCATCGGACTGGTCTTGTTTTAAAATTTTTTTAAATTTTCTTCATCATCAAAGAGAGTCACTTGACAGTGTTCGATGTTTAGCGTTAGGGTAGCGAGCCACATGCAATTTTTGCCTTCATGCAAAAGTAAATGTAAAACGACATATTCTTTATTGCCAAGGCTAGACGAGTGATATCGTCTCAACTGTTATACAATTCAAAATTTGTATAATTATCGACAATTAATTTAAAGTTAACAATTTTTATTAAAATTAAACCCAAACACGGTCATACCTCGTTTATTTATTACAGTTGTGTGTAGCATTGTATAAATCTTTTTGAAAATTTATCGTAAAAATTATCAAGTTTGTAAATAACGGATTGTTGTATATTTTGTTCAATTTTTGACAAATTTGTGATTAGCTATCGTTTATGCACTTTTTGTCGATATCCTAATTAAAAATAATAATAGTTAGACGAAGTTACTGAGACGGTGTGATAATGATCGATGTGATGTACGTAAAATTTATCCGTCTTGTATGTTAGTACAATAGTTGAATCAACGAGAGCTTCTACTTTAATTACCTGTTCAATATTAATTATATTTATAAATTGTAACAAACTACCATGATACTAAAATTCCAATTTCAATGTATGTCAACAACTTGAACAAAGTAATATGTAAATTCCCGGTTAACAGAATTGTGAGTGTTTTCTGTTAAATTCTTTGACTGGAATGAAAAAAAACTTTATTAATATTTTTTGCTTATTAAAACTTAATTATTTTTTTGAAATGTAAATAATGTTATTTAAAGAAACACAACTTCCCCATATTTTTAGGTCTTTATGAAATATTAATAACACACCATAATCTGTCTTAATTAAAATCAGCAAGTATTATTTAATTTATAATTTGCAAATAATGAGTTTTTTAAATATATTTTTACTCGGCCCACGATAATGATTTTTTATTTGAATTCAATTTGTATAGAATTTTTTGAAAAAAAAATGAGTATACCAGTACATTTCTTGAAAAAATGGCAAACTAGTTACAACATAATATAAAAAGTTATAATCTTAACAGCAGTCTTGTGAACTGTGAATGTGATATTATCAAAATATAATATCGTTAATGGCTTTAAAATTATTTACATTGTTTTTGTGTTGACACAAGTTGATATTTGTATATTTATACGCCTCGAGGGCAAGATTATAAAACACCATAAGAACAGTGATAATTTATACTGTTACCTGTTTTCAGATTCTTTCAAACTTTTTATTGTTTGGGAGAAAAAAGGAAACATATCAAATGACTTGTTGGAAAACAATGTTTTAATTTTTCGATAAAAGCGCCTACGTTTTGCCAGTCATTCAAATTGTCTAAAACTAAACATGGTTATTTAAGAAACGATTATGTAACAATTTATTATTAATCAAACATTGGTACGATTTTCTATAATAGTATAAATCTAAATATTACAAAGCATAAGGTACACCGTGTTTGTTATGATTACAATTAAATCTGCCCTCTGAATTAACGGGAAAATTTCTGACCGACATGAATTTTGTCTGTCTAAAAAATCATGTACATGTAAAAATAAAAAAGTTTTTTGTTTCGAAATAACCATACAAGTTTAAATTGGCGTCCTCGAAAAATTGCAGCAATTATTTTACTTTTTCATCGTTCAAATGATTGTACCAGTTTCGTCGATGTAAAACTAAAAAAATAACAATTAACTTTTTTAAAAACATGCTTTTCTAAAAAAATAGATTTATCAGATAAAATTTCAGAAAATGTTTTAAATTGTAAGTATTTTTGTAATTTATATTAGGTTCAATTTTGGTGTGTGACACATACATTTCATAATAATTAACACAATGAATTTGGACTTTGTTGAATTGGGCCCACGCTTTTTTTTTTTTGCTTGCAAAGACAAGACCGCACTAACTGGACATCACTGTACGAATCTTATTAGGTACCTAGTGCAATAAAGTTTACTGAAGAATAAAATTGTTTCCATGTATTTTTAGCTACGGTTCGTATAGTATTAAAATTGTTTTTAAATTGGAAAACGAAACGAAGGACTTCAGGCTGACATTGTTGGTATTTTTTATAAAATAAATATCAGCTAAAATTAAAAAAAAATTATACCTATTGTTTAAGTCTACACAGGTATCATCAACTGTGTATAAATTGTGTGTATCGTAGATAATTTTGTTAGTTTTAATGAAAAATAGAAGTAGAAACATTGTATGAAAGAATTATTTTTTGTTGAATGAAAAATGAAAATAGCATTCGCTTTTTTCGTGTGCTTTTCGTTTAAGCACGCTGATTTATTTCTACTCGTAAGATTATAAAAAAACACTTTTGTTATCGATTAGCATTAATGAATTTTACATTGTTTTGAAGCCAACCTACATAGTTCAGCTTATAAAAATGAACAGCTGCATGGCGAATAAAGATTCGACGTTACTTGATACCAGCTACAATGAGTTAACTGCCAACATTACAGGTTCGAATCACTGGACCTACTACAAAGACATAACTGAAGAAATGAACATCACGGTAAAATAATCTGATGAATTTCTAAGGTATTCTCTAAAACAATACACAATTATGGACTATAGAATATTTCTCATCACGTCATTTTATTATTATTATTTTATTTTAGTGTGTTGATTATTTAAAATGTTGTTGACACCTTAACAATATTTTTTAAATATGTCATTTACAATGTAAAAAATAACACAAAAATAAAATATTGATACAATATTAGTGCTTTCCCAATTGAATCGATTATTTATGAAAGGGTTTTAGTCCAAAAAGTTAAGTTTTCGGTAAATTTAAGATAACCGTTTCCACGTACAATGCTTCTTGAAAAATATTATAAAAAGAATGTTAAATTCTTATGCACAACACTTATTTAAATTTGTGAATACCAAATTTTCAATTTTTTTTTTTAACCAACAGTAAGAGATTAAATTGAACAATTTTGACTTTTTTCATAAATAAATAAGTTACTTAACTCCTTTCATAAATATAATGAATGAATCATTGCACGGAACAATGTGTGTAACAAAGTGATGTAAACCAAAACTACTTTACTAACATATTCTATTATGACTTTTAAAATAACTGTATAAATTATTAATAGGAACTTTTTCCCTGACTTCGCAATTTAAATAAATTTAAGGGTTTGAACCGCCATAATATAATGAACTATAATGCGAATTTGATTCATTTTAAAAGTAATCTATTGCCACAGAACATATTTATTTAAAAAAAAGTAATTTTCAACAAAATTGTGACTTTATGAATAATACATTTTTCATAAATAAACGGTTCAATTGCCGTGTGGGTATGTGTTGTCCGCTTATAAAATCCTTGTTGAAAACATACCTGTGTTTAAAATATATTGTTCAAGCTCAAGATTACGACATATCGTAAAATCAACACATGGAGAATTCAACAAGCATATTCGAGAAACAATATACAATATTGCTTCGCATTGAAGCATAGCATTACATTTGTTCCGACTATAAAACAGTTTATTCCGACATTTCCCAATGGTTGCCCTGTGCGGAGAGTAAGTGTTAAATGTGTAATACTAATTTGTTAAATTTGATACAATAACAAAAGTTTATCCATTCAATTGGGTTGTTTTATTTACAGGGTGTGCGGTTAATAATGAGAAATCGCACAAACGCACTACATCCAATGTTGCCGTTAGGATGTTGGAATCAGAAACATGAGATGTTCAGCCCAAATGGAAGTGTCGTCGGATGTTTCAGTATAATAGCGTTACAAACCACCGATTCCAACTGGAGTTCAGAAAAAGCCAAGTGCTTTTAACTCAAAAACCCTAAGTTATTCGTATAACAATAAATCATGATAATAATAGAGAGCTGATAGGTATCAAAATATCAACAGCACCGTATTCTACAAAATATTATGATCCATTATATGCTCTTCTAGTTATAACATGTCTTGCTGTACTTTCTAACCTAACCTAACCTGACCTAATCTCTCCGCTCTTTGAGTCTCCGGTTTCCATTGGTCCTCTTGTTTAATTAATGTTCTCCAGGGATCCACGTTTCGCTCAATTGCCATCCACCTGTCCGGTTGAAATTGTATGTGAATTTTTCAATGTTTATCACTTCTTTCACCATGCGTTTTACGTAATGGGACTTTAAGGACAAGATCTTAATATTTCATCAATGTTTACAACGAGGCCTTCTCGACCCACGATTCAGCTATGACCGGGTTCTTGGTTCTCTTGTAGTCCACGTCTTTCTCTTGAATGAATTTCAAATGGTAGTTCTGTTTGCTTGAAGTGTGAATGACCACAAGAACACTGCAAATAAAATTGGGTTCATCAGGATAAAGAAGAGACTAATGGGACGGTTGTTATTCCGTCCATAAGTGGCTTGACTGAACGCAAGGCATTTGTGCAGCATTTTGGGTAGCAAGAATTTTACCGGAATCCAAGGGTATGAACTACCAAGATTCATCGGCCATCCACGCACTTCAATGCTCATTAACAAAGTTAAAATTTTTAAAAATATTTATGATTTCATTGATTAAAATATAAAAAAATTATAGTTTGTTTTGAAACAAATTAACCTAGTAAAAAAATAAATAATTATCATTGGTAAACTTCTATACAATTTTCAGAATTTTTAGTGGAAATACTTTTGTTTGTGTTTTTATCTCTACACATAGTTATAAATATTTTCTAAAATATAAAAATCAGTGACCTTCACGCTCCAACTGTTTTGGCATTATTATTTTTTCGTTTATTTCTAAAACTTTTAGTATACAAAACAATTATATGCAAATGTTGTAATTTGATGGATTTTCTTGATTAAAAATATTACGTATGAATTACATTTAAATGCTTTATTATGCACTTAAATATTTGTTATAAATATAACCAGAAACTGGTCATTCGGCAACAGTATTGAAGTATACCGTGTGTTTAAGTTAACACGGATATTTTGCTAAAAAGTTGAGATTTGTC